CAGATGGTCGGTTGTGCAAGTCCTGTCTCTGAATCCCACAAAGCAGCTATTCCATGCAAATCTCTCTCCCGTGTCTACACCTATGTCTGCATCCACATCTGTCTACATCTGCTTCTGTATCCACATATCTATGCCTGTGTCTACCGGTGTGTTTTCCAGTGGATCGATCTCCCTGGTCAGCCTCACCGACACAAGCAGTTTCATGCACCTGTTCAGCATCTGTATGTCTTCCTTGGAGAAATGACTAATCAGGCCCATTGCCTACTTTTAGAGTGATTACTTATTTTAGTATAGAGTTCTAGGAACTTCTGACATATTTTGATATCAACCCTAGGTTGATATGGAACACAAAAATTGTCTCTTCAAGAAGTGATGTTGGGGCCGGTGCCGCGGCTCACTAGGCTAATCCTCTGCCTTGCGGCACCAGCACATGGGGTTCTAGTCCCGGTCAGGGCGCCGGATTCTGTCCCGGTTGCCCCTCCTCCAGGCCAGCTCTCTGCAGTGGCCCAGGAGTGCAGTGGAGGATGGCCCAAGTGCTTGGGCCCTGCACCCCATGGGAGACCAGGATAAGTACCTGGCTCCTACCATCGAATCAGCGCAGTGCGCCGGCCGCAGCGCGCCAGCCGCAGCGGCCATTGGAGGATGAACCAACGGCAAAGGAAGACCTTTCTCTCTGTCTCTCTCTCTCACTGTCCACTCTGCCTGTCAAAAAAAAATTAAAAAAAAAAGAAATGATGTTGGGTAAACCGGGAACCCCCATGCAAAAGAATGAAATTGAATCTATGTCTTGCAGCACACACAAAAATAAATTCAAAATGGATGAAAGACAAATGCAAGGTCTGAAGCTATAAAACTCCTAGAAGAAAATCTACAGGAACATTTCCGTGACGTTGGTCCTGGCAATGCTTTCCTGGATATCTTGTCAAAATGATAGGCAACAGAAGGAAAACCAGACGAGTGGGCTTACATCGAACTGGAGTGCTTCTGACTGCCAAAGGAAATAATCAGAATGAGAGGGCAGCCTGTGGAATGGAAGAAAATATTTGCAAACCACATAGATGTTACAGAGTTAACATCCTCACTTGTTCTCAAAGTCACTTTGCTCACTCGCGTCAGTGAAGGCAATGCTCACTTTCACAGCTAAATATATATACATACGTGTGTGTATACACACATATATACACATATATGTACACATATACACATGTGTGTATATATATACACACACAATCTCCCCCACACACGTCTTCCTTTCTACTCACAAATATTAAGTTCACCCTGTCTTTTTGTTTGCAAGTACACACTCCTTCCCAAAGGAAACAAACATCCCATCATGGTAACAAGTTCAGAGTCTCGGATCCCACAATCAGATCGATGCAGGCCTGATTGTAGCTCTTTCTGCTCCAGAGATCATATACAGAGCAAGTGAACAACAAAGAAACAAACCAGTGAGAACAAACAGACAACCTCTTCCCTCTCTGTATCCAGAATGCGATGAGGGAAGGATGGTCCGTCTCAGCACCCTGAAACCCTGCTGACGACCACTCCTCTCACAGCCTCGTGCTGTGTCTTCATACCTTGAGCAAATACTTCCCTCCACAGCTCCGTCTTCTGTTTAATTATACTGAAGAGTTAAAATTGTATATGTATGGGTGTCAAAAGTTAAGCTTAAGCTTACAGGTTTAAAAACCTTCCTGGTGCAGCTGTGAAAATAAGACAGAGTAAAGTAGCACCTTGACAGTAGGGACTCCATTTTGGAGCACTTGAGACTCCATTCTGGGAATGCACCCCCCCACCGTGAGACTCTGGTCTGAAACTATGATCTCAAATAGTCGGACAATAGCAGTGCACTACACCACCCTTGGCAACGCACAAAAACCCCCTAGCATGATTGCTCAAGCTTAAAAGTAGAAAGGTTGCACCTGGGTTACCTGGGCTAATAATGAAGATGTGATTTGTCTATGTCTTAAAATCATAATTGCTGATTGTAAGATTTTAGCAACCGCTTAGCAACCGTGTATTCTCTCCCTCCTCCCGATTTTGCGGTTTTTGCCTTTATAAACCCTATGCTGTAGTTCCTCACTGCTCCTCTGTCCTTGTCAGAGGGCCCCAACATGTTGGATCAATAAATTTAACCCTTTGCTGGTTGCATGAGAGAAAAAGTCTCTTGGAGTCGTTCCTCGGGCGGTGGGCTTTTTTTTAGACCCTAACAATACTACTTGGCCAGGGAGCAAGGATCGGTAGAGTATCTGTTCTTAGACATTAGCATGTTTCTTAGCATGCTCCATCCCTGGGCAAGAGCAGGGGCCATGCCTCAGTTTAAGTCCAGACTAGTGGATCTTTGAAAATGTAACTCTCTCATATCTGCTTGGTTATAATGGCACATCCAGGATTATTTTTAGACATGCATTTTTTTCTAGATTTAATAGCTAGTACTTTGAGTCTTGCACATTTCATGGAGGAACCAAGCCAGTTCCTTTTTTACCTGAATCATTGTGCCAATGAAAGCAATTTAGAGAATTTTGGTAGTTCAACAAGAAGTATAATGACCCTCTGCATTTGATCCTTGTCAAAAGACTGAATTTTAATCAACCTATGACTCTCAAAGGTCAGAGATTGAGAATTAGTTACATTTTCCAACACGTTTCCAAGTCACTGAATTACGGGCATCCTGTTCCTTTATCTTTTTGCTTCCAAACTGGACGACCTTTTCCTAGCCTCATCTCCTTTTCAGAGATCTGTGCTGAATGTAACCATTAGCAACCAGCTCAAGCTATCAGAGCCTCTATTCTCATCCGATTACCTAAAGCTATGATATTACAGGGATGTATTTTTCCTCCAGGGTACCAAGGAAGAGTTTCACTGTGTATCACTGCAAACCAACCTAGACTATCATCCTTGCAAGCCCTGGTAAGAGTGTTCTTACTCTCTCTTCGTCTCTGAAATCAATGCTGTATAGAAGGAGTGGGGAGGGTCCTGCCCGTGGGCCACATAAGGTCCATGAAATCATTCAGTCTGGCCCTGCCAAGGGAATCACAGACAGGACTCAGAATTCCCTAAATCTACAGCAGACTATTTTTTAAAAATTAAAAAAAAGTTTTTACTTGTTTTTGCAGACACACATACAGAGAGAGAGAGAGAGAGAGAGAGAGAGAGAGATTTTCCATCCGCTGGTTCTCTCCCCAGATGATTGCAGTGGTGGGAGCTGGGACAATCTGAAGCCAGAACCTGGAGCTTCTTCTGGGTTTCTGTGTAGGTGCAGGGCCCAAGCACTCATGTCACCCTCCACTGCTTTCCCAAGAGCGTTGGCAGGGAGTTTGATTGGAAGTGGAGCAGCAGCAGCTTGAACCGGTACCCACATGGGATGCTGGTGCTGCAGGCAGTGGCTTGACCTGCTACACCACAGCACTGGCCTAAGGCTAATTTTTAAGCTGGTCATTTTGTATGGACTATGAACAATGCTATAAATATCCAACTGTCCCTTGGCAGAGCAGAGGATTCCCACCAGCTATGATTTTGGGTATATTCCTTTTTGTTTTGTTTTGTTTTATCAATTTCTATAAATTAGGATGAGCAATGCTAGGCCACAATGCCAAACAATTCAAAACATCAAATTTTTAGAAAATCTTTGTCACTCATAGTACACGTCCATTGTGGGTAAGCGATATTGTTCTGCTCATCACAGTCCACCAAGGATCCATATGACTGATGGCCTGTGCTCGGCCCGTGCAGAGGGCAAGGAGGGTGTGAGAACACTGCACCAGCATGCAACGCTCTCATCTGGGAGAGATGCTGTCTCTTCTTTGCATTCTATTGTGAAGGCCGGTATGACTAAGCAGGAGCCTCACTGGGTGAGGAAGGCTGGTCTTCTCCTGGGAAAGTGCACATTTCTGAACATGGAGGGGTATACACTCTGAGTCAAGGAAGACCCTTATAATAGATATGGTATTAGCCAGAAAAAAGTGATTTTCTGGTAGCATTTTGAGTAAAAGAGTTCACATGTGGTGCATATCCAAAACAAGAAGCAACATAGCCCAGTGTTAGAGAGAAAGCCACCTGCCGTGAGATGGTGCAAGGGCCAGAAAGCAGTGAAAAGCCAGGAGCAGCGTCAATGCAAACAGGCCAACTACGACAGACCCTGACCATGACTTTTCAAATGCCTTCTTTGGGAAATTTGGAGTAAGGATTAGCAGCTTCTCAAAAGCGGCAGACCAAGGAGCCACGATCTGCTGCCCCAGGGCATGAAAGAAGTGTTAGCAAAGCCCCGGCTGGCTCATGGGTAAACGGTGGGCGTGGCTGCAGAGCAGGCCTCCCGTCAGCAAATGACCTGAGCCCCTGGGTCACCACCTGCTGAGCCGGCACCCCCCCCCCATCACCACTAGTCAGTGTGGTTTCTAATCCACAGCAGAGAATTCAAACCACATGAATGGACTCCCTCTCAATTCACGATCTCAAGCCTCCTACCCAGTGGCAAAAAGTTATCTTTTCCCAGCACTGGAATTCCATGACTCCTTGTCACTCCGGTCTCTATCATCCTCCCACACGGGGCTTCACACTCAGTAAAAAACGATGGCCTTGGGTTCAAGCGCTCACACGGGATGGCCTGTCCGTGTCTGTGCTGACAGCATTCCCACGCACATTGGGCCCAGCGTTTGAGGCCCCATCTCATATTGCAGGAATCCAGGATCCAACCCCAACTGCAGCTCCTGGGTCCAGCCTCCTCCTCCTGTGACCCTATGAAGTAGCAGATAAAGGCTCAAGTATCAGGTTCCCGCAGCCCTGTGGGAGACCTGAACTGAATTCTCAGCTCCTGGCTTTGGCTGGACTAGCCTTGACTGATGGACCATTGCATGCATTTGGGGAGCGGACCAGCAGATGGAATCTCTCTCTCTCTGCCTTTTAAGGAGCTCCTAACTTCCTCTTCTCTAACTCCTGCCCCAGACAGCAGTGGAAGCAATGTCCTCCAGTTGTAAGCAAGTGACTGTATTCCCTTGCTTCAGTCTCCAGTGCCTCCACATTCTACCCTGCCGTGCCCACCGTGCAGGCTGCACCCCGAACCCCCGTGCCCACCGTGCAGGCTGCACCCTGACCTCCTGTGCCCACCGTGCAGGCTGCGCCCTGACCCCCCGTGCCCACCGTGCAGGCTATGCTCTGACCTCCTGTGCCCACCGTGCAGGCTGCGCCCGACCCCCCGTGCCCACCGTGCAGGCTGCACCCGACCCCCCGTGCCCACCGTGCAGGCTGCACCCGACCCCCCGTGCCCACCATGCTGGCTGCGCCCCGACCCCCCGTGCCCACCGTGCAGGCTGCGCCCCGACCCCCCGTGCCCACCGTGCAGGCTGCACCCGACCCCCCGTGCCCACCGTGCAGGCTGCACCCCGACCCCCCGTGCCCACCATGCTGGCTGCGCCCCGACCCCCCGTGCCCACCGTGCAGGCTGCACCCCGACCCCCCGTGCCCACCATGCTGGCTGCGCCCCGACCCCCCGTGCCCACCGTGCAGGCTGCACCCCGACCCCCCGTGCCCACCGTGCAGGCTGCGCCCCGACCCCCCGTGCCCACCGTGCAGGCTGCACCCCGACCCCCCGTGCCCACCGTGCAGGCTGCACTCTGATCCCCCCGTGCCCACCATGCAGGCTGCACCCTGACCCCCCGTGCCCACCGTGCAGGCTGCGCCCTGACCCCCCGTGCCCACCGTGCAGGCTGCGCCCTGACCCCCGACCCCCGACCTTGGGTACCTCGCTGCACTGCTGTTTCTCCCCGGCTAGAAGCTCTTTCCGGCCTTCCAACGTCTCCAGACTGCTTTGTTTTTCTTTTTCCGCTGGAGCTTTATGACTCTTTCCCTGTGCCAGCATGGATTCTGTCTCCCTTTGCTTGACCCACATCCACTGCCTGTAGCTTGGCCCTCAGCTAATACGGCCTCTTTGAAGAGGACTTCCCTAACGTCCACACCTACAATAGTCCCTTGTATTCACTATTTTAAAAACTTGGCTGTTTTTTGAATTCATCACACGTAGTGAACCAGCCGGTGCCTTTATCTGGTGGCTGCTCCCTGGCATCGCTGCAGCTTGCTGGCTTGTGTTTCTCTATGTCCTCACTAAGCAGCATCTCCCCAAGAGGGCAGGAGCCGCGTGCCTCTCCCAGCATCCTCTTCTCAGCCGTGAATCCACAGCCTGCACACAACAAAGACTTGCTGAGTCAGTGACATCTCAGGAGCATTGCTGAAGCCCAGGTTGCCCCAGTGTCACACCTGCCAATCAAATCTGGCTTCTGGAGGCGTTTCAGGACTGAGACGCACCGGGCGTAGAGGCTGCTGTGGTGGGAACAGCCTCCTCTGCTCCTCCCAGCTCACGCACCCTGGTTTTATAGATGAGCTGCAGGGCCGAAACGAATCCCGTAGCAACAAAGCCGACGCTTGCAGTCGATAGCCATTTCCACCAGTTCTTCCCATTGCTCAACAGATTAAAGAAGACGTCTCCTCGCTGTGGCAGACAATGTCCATGCCACATCAGTCAAATCTACCAACACCGTACGGGGAAGCAAGAGTGGAAAGCCGAGTGAAGAAGGGGTAACAGGTACTTGGGGGTAAGTAGCTCTTCTGTTGCGTGTGGGCACCAGCAAATCCCTTCTTGTGCTGGGTATCTCACTGTCTATTCTGCATGGCAAGCCAAGTCAGATAGCCCCAGAAATGGTGCTGAGCACCCTCCTGTTACCTAGCTCTCTCTAGGGAGCCCAGGGTTTGCACTGAGTGTAAAGCAAGTCAAGATACAACCAACCAAAGAACGAAAACATAAAGAAAACCAGGCAATGACAACAGAGACCAGAGACTGGGTCTTCCTACAGAGTGACTGAGTCCCTTGCACTCACACCCTGCTCCTGCCCCTCACCTAACCCCCCCCCCCCCGATGCCCAGACTACAGGTGCGTGATGGAAGACAAAGGGGTGCATGGGAACAGCTCGATCCCTGGGGATATTGGCCCTCTAAGAATCCTTTAGAACTGGGCAGCGACACTGAGCAGTAATGGACAACGTGACCCCGCGGAACTGCCGACTGTCTCCACAGCTCTAGTGTGGTCAGAGGCCAGCACATCGGAAGAGCAGAACTCAAGCACAATGAACCTGAGCCGTATCTTACCCCAGCGTAAGTGAACAAAGCGCCATGCACAGCTGTCTGAGCTCAGGATGGGGTGTGAAAGACAGACGCGGGGCCAGAGCTGTGCCGTAGCAGATAAAGCCACTGCCTCCCTTTGGGCACCAGTTCGAGTCTCGGCTGTCCCATTTCCAATCCAGCTCCCTGGGAAAGCAGAGGAGGAAGGTCCCTGTCCTTGGGTCCCTGCCCTCACGTGGGAGATCCGGAAGAAGCTCCTGGCTTCTGGCTTTAGATCATCTCAGCTCCGGCCATTGTGACCATGTGGGGAGCGAACAAGCAGATGGGAGATCTCTCTTCCTCTCTTTGCTTCTCTCTCTGCCTCTCTCTAACTCTGCCTTTCAAATAAATAAATAAATAAATCTGAAAAAAGACAGAGGCCAGCAGCACCCACATGCATTCACCCAAGGACACCTAAGGTCCCAGCACAGCACAACCATTCAAGGGTACTGCACATCATGCGTCTGTGAAACGATGCTGTAATAAAAGCAGAAGACACAAGAGTGTGCCAACTGAAAGCAATGCCATGAAAACACTCATTGTTACCATAAATACAATATAGGGAGCACTGCCAACGTCAGAGTCAGCGAAGCTCATTTCTTCAAATACTCTGTCACAGAATGAAACAAATTGATATAAACCAGATGTTGATTGCAATAAATTTGTGAAATAGAAGACAATTCCAAGGAAAACAAAAAGAGTGAAATAAAAATAAATAAAATCCATCAACACTTAGAAAATAACAAGATGCAACAGAAATACCCAGGATCAATCTCTTGAAACAATGAAAATGAAGAAACAAATCTACCACACATAAAGATAGAAGTATCAGCAATGATAAAGTTTACATAATAGAGACACTGGAGTGTCAAACCCGTTAGGCTATCAGATGCGGGGTCAATGTAACTTTACACTCTTGGTCAGTGGGTAATTGGGCCCTTTTAAGTTGTCAAAACAGTATCAAGAATGCTAATAAGGACTATACTACAGAATTTACTTTTTTCAAAATTTAGGAAAGGATGAATTCCAAAACATTCAGTAAATGCAGATTATAGTTGCACACCTTGCTACACAATTCATTTTCAAGGCTTTGACAACATTGCTACCAAGATTTGAGAATGAAATACGTGCACACAAAGAGTTAATACTTGGGAGCCAAGGGTGATGCTCCAGTTCCTGTCCCGGCTGCTCCACTTCTGATCCGGCTCCCTGCTAATGCACCTGGGAGAGAGTGAAAGATGGCCCAAGCGCTCGGGCCCTGCACCCACGTGGGAGACCTGGGCGGAGCTCCTGGCTTCAGCGCGGCAACTTGCCAATCAGCGGATAGCAGATCCCACTTTTTAAAAATATAGCCTACTATTGGGAATTAAAAACACATAACTTAGTTAAAAATGTTATGTTTGTTATTGTAATACATGCAAAAGTGCATTTATCCACCACTAACTCAGTGTAAGTCCAGTCTTTCCTTTAATAAGTGCATACTCATTATATTTGTTTTATGTTTTGTAACCAGCAATCTAACATGAAAATTTCCTTGAGAGTGAAAGTGAATTTTTAAGAAAGATTTAATTATAATTTAGACTTTTCTTAGATATTTAAACCTATACTTCAATACAGTTCAAGCATCAACTTGGATTTTTTTCCTTACCTAGAGAGCCCACTAGAGTTAACTGGAAAACCAGTAGGCCCTATAGGTTGTTTAAGCAAAGTCATCAGTTAAAACACAGAAACACAAAATTCGGTAATTTTCTTATAAATCAGCAAAAAGCTTTTAAAAGATAAAATGACAAAATTACCACACGAAGAAAAAGAGAAGCACAGCTATAAATTTTTCAACATTTACATATAAATTATATGAAAACAAACACAAGCATTTCTAAAATAAACAGGGATACACACTGTACTCTGGATGGGAAAATCTAATGATATAAACAGTCTTTATAATGGACTTGAAACGTCTTGTGAAGTTGATTCCTGTGATTAAACTCAGACTAGATCTGGAGCGAGAGAAGCCACGTCCTGCCATCTGCCAGAGGGCACAGAATGGAAAGAAAAAGCCGGGAGGAAGGAAGGGGTCACCATGCCCACCCAGCAGGGGACGGGCCAGGCTGGACAAGACCCAAAACCTGCAGGAAACCTGCCTGCGGGACACGGGCAGCCTCAGGGCCTGTGGAAAAAGCCGGTGAGTGACAGGGCTTCCCGAGCAGGCTGAGGTGCCTGTGTGTGTCCTTTGCCCTTCAAAGTGCACGACCCTGACTCCACAGCTGATCTGTGGAGGTGCACTCCCTCCAGGTCAGCAGGCAGACTGCGCTGGTGGGAGTGCCCTGCGCCCGGGGCACAGCGTGCGGGTCACTGAGCCTCGTTCCTGCTGCTGAATGTGAACTTGGATTAAGCTGAACCCTGAGGCTAAGGATTAACTTATTGGATCAAGACTGCAGATTTTCCAAGTAGCCTGGTACCGAGGAGAACCCAGAGGTCACAAGTGCTGTTGTTAAGCTGATGTTGACTTAATAGGATCTGAGGTGGTGAGAGTCTTCCCATGGCGGGGCTGGAGTCTTCTGTCTAATAAGTTGTGACCATCTCGTACATAATTCCTCTACCCACAGATAAATTACGTGGACAGCTGAGTTCCTTCTGCCGTGGAAACTGTGCTTTCTCTTTGCCTGTCTTTACAGTTGTTCTCAACTGACCATAGTAGCCTGCTCTGTGCAGTCTCCTGCCTTGTCTGTGTGGAACCTGAGACTAAAAGGGAAATTACCGGGTAGATACGGACGCAGGCCTCAGTGTAGACAGATGACGCTGTGCTCAGTCGGTGAGTGTTGTCTTCACCACTAACCCGACACCTGCTTAGTCTCTCACACAACACAATCGAAACTGGGTTCATAACCGAGCCACTTCCGTCTCTGAGGGGATGAGCAGCGAATTTGAAAAAAATAATGATTTAGCCCAGGTAGTTTACCTAAGGGTTGAATGTTTTAATAAATAGAAGCTTGGGCTAATCGTGGGACTTTCCCTAAAACCATCCCGACCTTTTGTGAAGAGGGTCTCTGAGCGTTCCCAGGGACCAGCGCTGTCTCCTTTTGGTGCTAAGTCAGTCCGGCTTCCAGCCGGGGGAGATTTGTTTAAAGGCTCGGCTTGTTGTGTCAGTGTCTGTTAAGGTTTGCAGAGGTGAGGAAGAGCAGATGGCCCAACCCTGCCACATGACAAATGAGAACGTAGCTGGATCCACAGGCGGCCCGGCTGAGGTCACTCTGCTCCGCGCCGGGGTGACACGGGGAGCCAGCGCTTCTGCAGCTCCAGACCCAGAGGCAGAGGCAAACCCAGCTCACCTGGCCTAAGCTCCAGGGAGAGGCAATAAGGACAGGTATCTCAGAGTGAGGACGCTGGCCACTGCTGGGTGGACCGGCACCCCAGCTCGCAAGTCCGTGCAGTGCGTTAATAGACTCCGTCTCTACCATTCCCATTAG